TGATTGAGGTAGATGACGTCATATGAGTGCACATTGCAGTAGGCTTAATAGGTCCAAGTTGTTATTGCGATATTTGAAATGTGTTCTCTCGAACCAAAGATTGGGCTACCTTTCAAAAATGAATAACAGCTCTACAACACATGTTCTTCAATTCCATGACTACCGTACTCATTATTTTCAAGAAAATTATCTTCAGTTCTTGGAGGAAAGGCACTTTCCTCCGACGTAATTGAACAGTCATATGTGACAACTGGTTATACCTACTGCAGTGAATGTAAAAAATTCTATCCCCTGCGATGTTAGGATGTAGAAGATTCTTGTTTGTTTCGTTGCTTTCTCTGTTTACAATTCGACCCTGAAAATGGATTCATTATCTTCTTCCGAAACATCTATAAACAACTATTAGACTACATGGCATCACATCCCAGAAGCTTGTTCCCTGAGACAGCTACCTTCATAATATAGAATTTGTGATTTTATTTAATTAAATAATATGAGGAAACAGAAATTAATTAATAAATTATAATTCACATAGTACAACTGAACAACAAATTAATCTACTGAAATAAAACTAGTGACATTTATGTTAAGTAGAAGTGGAAAATATGTAGTTGAGATACGATGAAGGCAAACGTCACGTAGCTCGCCATTTTTAAATTAAAATTATGGGTGTGGACTCTCATTGCACTGCGATGCAGAGTCTTAAAGTCTCTCACATCAGGCCAGCAAACATGACCCCTTTTCCTAGAAGACACGGTAATTACAACAGCCATAAAAACTTCAAGTTTGCAGACACGTGTACAAAGTTACAGACGAAAAAGAACTGCCTCAGAGGATGTGTCAAGACTTTGTGTGGAATATGTCAACCACGCAATTTAATATGCCCTTGCATTTAAGAGAACCTACAATACAAGCTCGAAGAAATCTGGCTGAATTTAACATAGAATAACTGAGAAATATTTCATGGTTTGGTTATAATTCCTTTCAGATCCGCGATCCAATTTAGTCTTTTAATTAATTTTGCTTACCCAATGTCAATCCCAAACGTTGTATAGGAGACGTTCACGGCTCTTAACTGCAACGACACAACTTGACTGAGAAATTTGGTTCAGTACTTCGGATCTTTATTCGGGAGCATACCAGTTTGAATCTCGGGTGGGGCCGTCATTATATCTAGAGTTTTTTTTTTTTGCGGTTTTCCTCAATCGCTGCAAATAAAACGGGGACGGTGCCCAAAACTAGGACATGACCGCTCTTTTCCATGATTTTTCAATTGCTTATTCAATAATTGTCTTACCATTCAACTCTATGTAGTCTGCGCTACTGGCAGCTTCGTTAAATTTAATAATTAGACACGATTTCTTCAGGCCTGGCTTCATCTCTGCTTGTACTCTCTGCCATTGCAAAGCCAACCTCTCCATGTGCGATACATTAGAACAAAGACTGATTCAATATTTACAAAATATAAAAAGAAAAATCTGCTGGTCTTTGTTGACCTGTATTTTTTCTCATATGCCACTGATGTCAACTTGAAAATGATATACATTTTTGCTTGAAAAGTCGCTGTTAATTATTGAATGCCGAACAACAATACCATCCGTTCCACCAGTAAAGCGGGCTTCTGTAAAATCGATACTTCGTTGCTGGGTCCCTAGTTCGTGCACCGTTACTCATATTCTCCTGAAGATGCCGCTTATGCAGAACTATTTAGGTGATGACCTCCATAAATTACTAAAATTAATCAGAATCGTTGAAGCCTTTTCCAAGAAATTTCCAGTTTCCTTTCTTGAGGCTCATTTGAAAGAACAATATTTTTGAACCTATAACGTTCATGTTCCCATTGCACCGACCTGTAACATCCTAACATCATTACAATCAGGTTCTAGTGAGAATTACATACATACATGTATATATACAGACATATATATTGCTGCGCATAGACCGTTGCTAAGAAGTGACTCTGTAAACAATGGCCGTTACTAGATAAAAAATACACGCACACAACGATAGAATGATATTTTCTATGAGGTCCGCAACGCGACCGTTGCTATGCAAGGCACTCTACACATCCCTCTATAACAATACATGGGCCTTTTTCTGCGTGGTCCGTGCCGGGAAGCCATCTTGAAGACAATTGGCGCTGCAGTTTAGTTCAGTTCAGAGTTCAGGTTTAGAGTGTTAACCAGAGAACAGCGGAGTGACTACGGAAGCTGAAGAATCTCCATTGTTAAGATTCGTTATCAGGAAACGGCTGGTGAAAACATTGCAGATGAATAGCTAATGTGAGGAGTTGTCACCAAGTGAAGGCTAGTAAAAGCCGACTGAGAAGACTTAGTGTGGAATCAGCAATAATATTACAGTTATTTGTTTTTACGACCTGTACGTGGTCAATAAATCTATTCACCAATCCATACCCCGACTACATTCACCCCTAAATTCTGACAATTTATACAAACAATAACACCCACATACATCATACCTGCATACATACAGACATACATATATGTATACACATTCAGGCACACAGAGAAAGAGACGACAGTCCAAAAGCAGTTTTGCTTAGTAAAAGGGATGCTTAAGACGTTGAAATTGCAACGAAGGATTCAGACTATTACATACATTTAGTTGATAAATCCACGGCAGGGTTGGAGAGGACTGACTCCATTTTCAAAGTTCTACTGCGGGTAAAATTCTATCAAACAGCATCGCATGCTACAGAGAAATCTTTCGTGAAAGGAAGAATCAATCGATTCGGCAAACTTCATCGTTGTCTTATTCAAAGGAATTGCCACAGTCACCGCAACCTTCAGCAACCACCACCCTGATCAGTCAGCAACCATCAACATCGAGGCAAGAACCTCCATCATCAAAAAGATTAAGACTCGCTGAAAGCTCAGATGATGGTTAGCATTTTTGGGCAACAAAGTATTTTTCATTAAAGTATGAACATTATGTTTTTAGATACATTGCTATTGCACACTTAATCGACTGTAGTATAGTGTAAATATAACTTTTATATGCTTTGGGAAACCAAAATATGTGTGTCACTTGATTTATTGCTGTGATCTGAAACCGAAACTACAATAATCCGAGGTACACCTGTACTGATTTCTCAGGCAGGAGACAAAGTAACAACATGAAAAAAGTATGAAATTCGTCAGTTTCTGGGTCACTGTATGGAGTTCCTCACTGAATAATGTTTATCTTTGTCTTACCTCTCTGTCTTTCTTACCTTCTGAGATCCTTATCAACCATCGTTTGAGATTTGCTTCATGACTCTGTCAGTATCAATGTTATATAGCGCCGAATGATAGGATGAATGATGAAAGATCTGGAAGGAAGTGGTAGTCGTCTAATTTTGATTCTGTGCTTGAATTTGGCTGGAGGGACTCGCGAAAACCATGATTAACCTCGTTGTCCCAGCCAAAGTTCGAAAGGAACATCTCCCGAATATAAGTCTGCATCATTACCGCTACGTCATCCGGATTGCTCAATCATCGTCATCATCATCAGCAGCAGCAGCATCACCAATAGCTTTCTATTTCCAAACATATGATATCACAATGAGGATGTTGTTACTCTGCACTGAACGCATGGCACATAAATTTGAACCTACTGTATCTCAGTTAAATGAAAATGGGTTCTACACTGGCCGTCAGCCAATAACATTATTTCTTACCAACTTACAAATTACTAACAAATTTAATTCACCACAAAGTTTGAGATATATTTACATGAATTTTGTAACAGACCACTTTTAATAGGCGATATACGGCTTCATTAGTGTAGGGGCTTCAGTAGTGTGAGTCATATGGTTATAATCACGATCACAAAGCTCACTTTACTACACAACATCAATTTACGCTTTCAGCCTGAAGAGAAAATATGTAATATCACAGCATCACATTTAAATACAATTAACAATTCATATGGCTTACTTCTTAATTATCGTATTGGTATTACTTCTTTCGGACTAAAAATAATAAAACAATTCGAATTTTCATGCGGATATTCAGTGTCTTAGCGTTATGTAAGATCTACACATATTTTATTTCGTATAAATATCTAATCAGCAGCGTAGGTGGGTGGACAATATTAAAATGGATCTTAGAGAGATAGACTGGGATAGTATGGATTGAATTGATCTGGCTCAGGATAGGGACCAATGGAGGACTCTTGTGAACACGGTAATGAACCTTCGGGTTCCATAAAATACTGGAAAATTCTGAGTCGCTCCAGAATTGGTGGCTCCTCAAGAAGGGCGCAGCTCCGTGAATAAGTAAGTAAGTAATCTGATCAGCAAAACTTGAGGAATGGCAGGAGGTAAGGCTACACTAAAGCAGTGTACGCTATTTAAGCTGGGTCTTCATGACACCGACACAAAACAATTTTCATTGTATTTCGACGATACAGTTTTCCTAATTCATAGCGTGATTATTATTGTAGATATTATTCACTGCACGAACTCTATGTGATTATTATTATTTTTTTTTTCTGCTACTGGAGTGGAGCTAAGTCCCTTGTAGTGCGGCCAGTTCTGGCCTATTGTACCAGTCCCGGATGATAGGTGAGGGTGATTGTGGAGAAATTTGTGGAATGAAGATTGGCAGGGGAAACCGAAGTACTCGGAGAAAACCTGCCCCAGCGCCACTTTGTCCACCATAAATCCCACTTGACCAGACCCGGAATCGAACCCAGGCCGCAAGGGTGGGAAGCCACCGAATAACCACTTGAGCTACGACGAGGCCAACTGTAGGTGATACACATGATGTTTCGGAAAATGTATCCATTCCCGTTATCAGCTGCAAGGGACGAAAGAACAGTAGTGACTCAGAACACTTAGGGAGAAGTAGTCTGAATCACTAAGTGATTCGAGTGATCTGGACAAACGCTTCCTAAGGGGCCCAAATAAGTACTATCTTCCTTCCTTTTACATCTGATGACAAGAGACAGGTGCCGATTTCGAACCGTCGTGTACAATAATGAAGATATATCCCAGATAACAGAATATGCCCGATATAATCTTCGTGCAATGTATAATGCTTCTTCACAAAACTTAGGCAGTCATCTTATACATATACAAATAAATGTACATTTCATATGTTAGGTACGTATTCCTGAAGAAACAGTTCTTTCTGGTAGTTTGTAAATTGAGGTATCCTGTGGTTCACACACCAATAGGCTTTGTAGACTGGGACGCTCTGTCCCTAATGTTCGCATTTATAGGTCCAAGAAAGTGGATTGCTTTAAATGATTATTAGGTATGTACAATATTCCATATGTTTTACCCCAATATAACGGAGTAGACCGTTCTGAAAATGTTGGTAAATGAAATTACAATAACTTAATTTACGCTGTTTCATCTATCGCTTTGCGTTTTCAAGAATTAACTTCACTTCAGTAAATTTCTCTAAAGGACTGGACAGATTTGTCTGTTGGCAACACAAGAAATGGATTTCACATTTACTGTTATGTGAACTCAGGTGTGTGAATCTTGTTGTAAATTTTCTTTAAATTGTTTACATTATTTTAATTATAAATTTCAAATCAATGAATAGATATTAGTGATACTGTTCAAGTAATGATGTTAAAGTAAAATGTTTCATGTCTGCATTTCGTGTTTATTGACGTTGACTTCTTATGTGATGTAGGATATGGGAATGCCATTGGGGTAACCTTGCTGTTTCTGTACTCATAACCATTAACATAAGTGTCAGTATCTCGCTTCTGCGTCTGAACAACACTAAAACTTTTCGGATAACATCTGTGGAGGACACACAACATGAAGGAAGATAAGTAATACACATCATACTTCATAACGACTGTTCAATTATACGCTATGAAACAGACTTTACCGTAATTATAAGCATTTGTCGCTATTTTAACAGAAATTAACCCGTATAGGAAGGTCTGCAATATCGTGACCGTGTCTTCATGTGGCGGCCATGAGCCACAGAGCTCTGAGGAAGACAAGGAGGAGTAACACGTGCTGAAGTGGCTGTCTGGAGATGCAAGATGCCTGCGAATGATCTCCATCTCTCTGCATTGCCTCCGTGTGTTCTCCTAAAACAAGATATCATTATCCCATTATGCACAAACAACAAAGTATTTCCCACAACAATGGGCTGTCTGCAAATAGACAGCTGAAACACTTCTCCACTACGTTCTTGGAGGAACATAAAAATGTGACATTTTAAATTTGTCTTGCGTTGCCATGCTTTCTAGATGACTAGATGATGGTAGACACAAATGAAAGATAATTGTGAGATTGCATGTATATGTCGGGAAATGTATGAAATTATATTTAAAATAAATTTTTGGTGTTGAGGGAGAGAGGATTAAGTCGTTAAACATCACTTTTAAGGATAAAGAAGAAATTTCAGACATTTATGCAGTAAAATATTTAACTCCGTATACAATTATGCCGTTCGTTTATGAATGGCTCTACATGCCTTTGTTGAGTCCTGGCCTCTACTTCAGTTTCGTAATATTTTAAAACACAGACGGTATAACTCCTTGGACGAGGTATCAGTCCGTCACAAGGCCGCTACCTACACTCAGGACAACACAAACACAGAATAAATGCAGACAAATATCCATACCATCAGTAGGATTCGAACCCAAGATGCCAGTGTTCGAGCGGACGAAGATAGTCATGCCGTAGACTGCGCGGTCACTGTGATCGGCATTTCACGGTGTCACTGGATGAAAGATATCCTGCTTACGTACATAAGCCGATTTATATTTTTTAATGTTATTAAGGAGAGTTGTTTGGCACTCCCATCTTATTATTGGCAACTTCTGCTTTAACGCGCATGACGTAACAACACAGATACGTCGAGATATGCAGCCTTCCGAGTTCAAGATCTTTAATTGGTGTTGAATTGATCCATAGTTTCTACCCTTCACTAAATAATACTAGAGGTCGCTCCATACCTCAAGCGGTTTGTCGCTGGCTTCCCACCGCGGCGGCCCGGGTTCGATCCCGAGTTTGGTCAAGTGGAATTTGTAGTAAACAAAGTGGCTCTAGGGAAGGTTTTCTCCGAGTACTTCGGTTTCCCTTGCAAATCTTCATTCCACCAATTGCTCCACAATGACCCTCACCTATCATCTGGGACTGGTACAATAAGCCAGAAGTGGCCGCACTACAAGGGACTGAGTCCCACCCCACTAGCATTAAGAAAAATATAATACTAAAGTGGCCAGTGCGATGGTTCTGATGTACGCAAGGTGTGTGACGCACGCGCAGATGGGAAATGGGTACAAAGTTTAGGAAGGAATGCAAGACAGTAAGAAGCCACTTAGAGATACCTGGTCTTATATGGGAGAAAAACATAAAAGTTACACTTGAAATATGCAGTATATAGTTTGAAGATTTGGATAAGAACAGGGTCCAGTAGGGATCTTCTGGCAACACGTTTAGGAACCTTCGATTTCCATGAAAAGATGGAAATGTCTCTCTTAACTGAAGGAATACAATTTTCCCAGAGAGCTCTGCTAACGGATTTATTGTTACAATGTATGTATATTGATAATCCACAAAAAACGAACCTAATAAATTCTAAATTATTGTAAACACGAAAAAGTTAGAGCAGATATATAATCGCCGTTTGTTTGAGAAATGCAGTTTAGAACTGCAACTGATGTGCATCTCCACGAAATGGTTCCAATGCAAGAACTCTGTATAACAGATGAATAGATAACTTGTACACTATAACAATGTGTAACTCTAAGAATGGATATAACATCTAGATAACTGTAGCGATAAAAAGAGTAATCAGGTCGCTGACATGAGGCACCAGGAATATTATAATAGAGAGATGAAATAAAATTATAACAATCGCACTGGGTGTTTTAAATTTAATGCTGCAACAAGAATGAAGTAATACGTTACAAATATTGATTAAAATGTTAAATGAATGGAAGATGAGCAGATATGTGAAAGAAAAATAGAGCATGTACCCAGTGAAAAACGAGATTCAGGAAGATACTTTAAAGAAACTGCTGGATAGATTTAGGAGCCGAGACAAGACAGTCTTACACATTTGTTCCAGACAATGATGACGAAACTGTGACTTTATTTAAAACTAATAGGAAGATGCAGGTGCCGTTCACAGTAGCCGGGAGGTCTATGGCATGAACTGTCTCGCTCGCTCGGACGCTGGGATCTTGTTTTCGAATCCCACTCAGGGCATGGATGTTTGGTGTGTGTTAATTTATTATGTGTTTGTGTTGCCTGCTTGTAGGTAGCGGCCTTGCGACGGACTAATCACTCGTCCATAGAGTCCTATCGTCTGTGAAAAATGATTGCGGAAGTGAGTAAGAGATCAGGGTCCTGAATGGGCTGGAAGAACCGTTGTAAAAAAGAAGTTGGTAGAAGTCCAGCGGCGTCTGTGGAACCCATTACCTCCACCTTCAGGTTTGAAGGTACACTAAATAGGCAGAGACCTAGAAACACGCAGGAGCTAAAATTTGCTGTATGTCGCTACAAAATATCTGTGAGCATCTAGAGGAATATTCGGCGTCATATCCCAGAAGATAGTGCTCATCAGTAGTCGAATTAATTTCGTCATTTTACCGGTAACAATTCCTGAATTTCCACAGTTCTCAAGTTAATGCTAAGCACTTCCCATGGCTGACATATAATAATAGCATTTACTTAAATGGGTTCTGATCTCAGCACAAACACGCAAGACACATGATCATTACAGGAAAAAAATAAATTCCGTGGTTTTAGTCCGCTAGCGGACTAAACCGACCGGGCGATCATCGCTTGTCGGCGAAGTTAGTGCCAACTTTTGCGGATAGGGGGTGTCATGTGGTCATCGCAACGAGTCCCCACGGCAGTTAATTTCGGTTTTCTAGACCGGAGCCGCTATTTTATTGAAATAAATCCTCAATTATCCTCAAGAGGCTCAGGTATGATAACTACAACGTAAAATTAAACAGTTCAAGTCCGAACGTTTATGTCTCAGTGAAGATAACTCTGTTTCTGGACACTGTACACCAGCTCAAGCTTTCTGAAAGGCAACGCTTCGGATCCGGTGAAGAAGGGCAGCTCTTTCTAGTGTGTCCAACTGAGGAGGAAGTTCTCCGTCCTTAAACCTAAAGCCGGAAAACGTTCCAAGACGTAATGTTTGAGAGAACTCAAGATAATAGGCAATGCTCAAACCAAGTTTCGCGTTTAATGCAAACAAATGAGGTACGCGTACTGCAAGCGGAATTTTGTACCCTGCTAAAAGAATGACAAAGCTCCAACCGGGAACCGCTAACATGTTTACATTTATTTAAACTAGCAACAGAGTTGCATCTTGAATGGGGCACGGACATAAATTTAACAACGCTGTTTTCCCATACACGAAAATATATTTCTTTTATACTTGCATGTGGATCTGCAAGTATTTCGCTGTCTTCTTCGCTCTTAAAAGGAATATCCATTTACTTTAGTTTTCTTTTTTCAAATAAAATGTTTTCTTTTTCATCATCTTTTATGGGAGACTTTGCAACCATAATTCGTAATATTGGCCATAAAGAGGAAAAGTTAAGAACTAGCGATTGCGAGATCGGATGACTGATGGTGCAGCAGTTAACTAAAAAATAAATAAAACTCCTATAAATTATTGCTGCCTGAATAACTTACACCCTTAATGCTGGAGCTGGGCTTCATCTCTTGTGGTGCTACTCTGCTATATAAACTTATATTTGGAAGCGAGAAAGAAAAATATTATTATGACCCCACAAGCGAGATTTTCCACAAACTTACAAGCGAAATGGGGTAATGATTTATACCGTCATCGGGTGCAGATTCGTCATGCCGCAAAAGGAATGGGTCGCAAATGCATAACGATGGAAGAGAAATATGTGTATAAATTTTTGTCGTCTATAAAGTGTTTTTACATTTCCCCTTGGCCATTTTTTCGGCCTAGAAAAAGGAACACGCCTTAAGAAGTTAAAAATAGCAGAGAACTTGTCAACACCTTAAAGAAACAAGGGGAGTTAAGAAAAGGGTCCCTTTTGTAGGAGTCTCATGCTTTCTGTTGTTCAGCTACTAATATTTTACATATATAAGATTTGAGGCTTTCACGGCGGTGACTATGAAGAAAGCAGTCTTCTGGGATTTGGCACCGTGTATATGTGGTGTTAACCGACGTTTCGGAGGAACGTATCGCCTCCATCTTCAGGGTAGAAGAAAAAATATAAGAAATCTCTTCGCTTTGCAGATTTCTTATATTTTTTCTTCTACCCTGAAGATGGAGGCGATACGTTCCTCCGAAACGTCGGTTAACACCACATATACACGGTGCCAAATCCCAGAAGACTGCTTTCTTCATTTTACATATAGATAACCTCACAGGATTTCAAGTACGGTTATTGATGTTCATTAAGATTACTTTTCTTATCCGAGAACCATATCCTGCGGAAATGAGTCCATGAGTCTGCTTCTCGGTGGGCAGACACACTCAGGTACCACAGACATCTCGGGGGGTCCTTCACAGTGTGACGGATGCGAGCAAAACGGTAGCAGTTCTGTCACTCCACTTGACCAGTCTCGACCCTATAGACTTAAACTTTAATGACAACACACTATATTTGCGAGAGTGGTTAAGCTGAAGATTATGTAGGTCTGAGGTTCTTATAGCGGTGAATATGAAGATCTATGTCTTCTTGGATATAGCGTCGTGAAGTCGTTGAAAGTCAATACATGTTTCTAAGGCACATTTTGCTACCATGTTCAGGCTCAAGAATAAGCCGAACAAGAAATCAGGGTGAAATCAGGTGGCAAGCAGAGAAATCGGCTTGCTGATTAATTATACAAGTTCAGCCTTAAACCACACTACATGTTTCGACCCTTAAAGGGTCATCTTTAGATGTTGTTAGATAAACAATGAATTATTAACGGAATTTTTCGACATCTCTCTAAAATTAAGACTTTGAAGAGATTTGAAAATATTAAGAGTACTTGGTCCCTGCCTGAAATTCGACAAAATTTACTTCTGAATGCAAGTCATATAAGATTATGCCAGGTTTCATGTTGGGTAGGCAAAAACCAGTCGGCCCAGTTT